TGCTTGCCTAGGCAGTAGTTTTTCTGAACTACTCCTAGTTCTGTCATTTTTTCGCTGGGCTGTTCTTGTGAGGGAATAAAAACAGATTTCAATCTGTTGTTCGTTTAAACATCTGCATCTTCTGTTTTACATAAGTTTTCATTCTGGTTCTGCTCTTGATTTGTGACTGTACGTGAGTAAGAGGGAAGGCAAAAGCTCCGTTTTAAACTTCACTTGATCTTGACAATACGGGAACCCATAGAAAGAAAAGCATTTGGTCTTGAATATCTTCTTAAATGAAGAATGGATCCAGCCCGGGTGTCCTGGGACAAGTTCATGGACAAAAGAGTATTATGACTGTTTGTTCCTGTTCCTCTAACCCTGGCTACACCTTCTGCTCTACTTGATCCTGTCAGCATGCTGCCAACAAATGCTTAGCACAGATACCGGATTGATCATCTTGGAGGTCATAGATGTGCAGACTTCAGTTTTGTTTTTATCTCAAGCAGGGTCAGACAAGAGAAAACACATCAATGTTCAACCAAACAGCTACAGTGGAAGAATTTTTGTTGCCTATATATTTATTATGAACAATCACAAGGCCATGGTTTCTCAGGGACCCCAGCAGGTTATGCTGCATTTTGGATTGATATCCCAGACTTAGGTCCCGAGATGTTCCCTTTTTAGTGCCTTAATTCAATAGCACTGGGTCTTAACACGCAGTTTGGCAGTCCAAAATAAGAACTCATGTTTAGTGTCCTCGGGTCTGACCTCTTGAGGTTTGACCCTAATCTTTTTGAAAGCCTTAGTTCGGTTTCATTTAGAGCTGGGTCAGACTAGGTCTGCAGAATTGGTAGGCTACATCTGCATATACAGACTGCCTATATATATCTGAGCTATAGATAGAAACTATCTGTTCCAAAGAGGATCTGTCATTTGGCTTTGGAAAACAAGAAGGCTCTGCATATACAGACTGTCTATATATATCTGAGCTATAGATAGAAACTATCTGTTCCAAAGAGGATCTCAGTCAAGAAGGCTATTGCAGAATACTGCTGTAGTGTGGGAAACTGAAAGAATTAATCTCACATAACTATCTATCGGTGTCTATAATCTGGGTTCAAAGTATAGCCACTGGAGAACAGGTCCATCAGTGGATCTCAAGGTGTCTTCTATCTGAATAAATCTAAGAGACTGCTGTGCAATAAGATGAATTGTATCCTAAACTACACAGAACTCTTTACTCCCTTGACTAGTTCCCCATGAACATATTGACCAGCATTTCCCTGGCTTTATTGATTGTCTCTCCCTTAGCTTCCTGTGTATTTTCACAGGTAGAAGCTTCTCTCAAGACACGGCTGCATTGTGTCTCTACTTGGTAGCCTTGAGGCTTTCAGCAAGTCCTGAGACAATTCCCACAAAACTTTTAGTCACACAGGACAGAATCTGTGGCTCCTGCTCAGATCTTTGTTTCTTCCTTATTCACTCTTCCTTTCATAATACAGGGGGTTTTTTTAACTGGCTACATTGTTCTGTCTTTCAAAAGCAAGTTTTACTACTGGGTGAGCTTGCTGGAGAGGATGGGACTTTTTTGGGAAGCTCCACTATGACCTGTATTCAACTCCTACAAAACTCTGACAAAGCTTGTTGAAGTGAAATGTTGACCCAAGTGTAAGATAACATTTCATACCAATGGTACATCATCAGAACAATATCAAACTTAATATTAACACATGGAAGCTCTCAAGGGGAGCTAATGTGTAATTCATCTTATTTGAGTTCATTAGGGAACAAAACTTCCATTTTGATATTTTTCACATTTTATTTCAAAATGTTTTGTAATATAATTTGGTACTACAATAAATATATCATCTTATGCACATATATCTTACTTCAGACACTCTCCAAAAGAAAAAAATCTCTGTTAACTAGAGCATAATTTTCTGTTTGTTATCTGTTCAATCAGTTTTCTCCTCCGGATTCCTAAGTCTCATTAATTTTGAGGTTCTGAGAGTAGGAGCTGCACATATAAGCCATAGTTGCATTACTATAAATTATTCTGAGGCTTGCATACTGTTTTCAAAATCTTATGCTTTTATCCTACTTCTGTGTTAGGTTGATTAATTTTAGTAGGTGATAGACAAGAAAGTTTAAACTAAATTGCATATTATTCTGTCCTAATACTTTAAAGGAGTTATTGTGCCAGCAAGTCTGTTTGGATGATTAGAAAGTGTGATGGGTTGAAGAAAGTTAACTCTGTCTCAGCTTAACCCAGGACAGAAAGGAATAGTGTTTATGCAAATATTGTCTTTGAAAGATCATCAGATTTAACGTATATGAATCTGTCATCACAGCTGAATTAGAGCATTAAGAATCAGAACATTCTTGTAAAAGATAACATTTAAAATTAAGCAGGCTAATGCATTCTCCAAAAAGATCTGGACCTGTTGGAGAGAGTCCAGAGGAGGCCACGAAATTAGTTGGAGGGCTGGAGCACCTCCCCTACGGGGACAGCCTGAGAGAACTGGGGTTGTTCAGCCTGGAGAAGAGAAGTCTCTGAGGAGACCTAAGAGCAGCCTTCCAGTACCTGAAGGGGGCTACAGGAGAGATGGGGAGGCACTCTTTATCAGGCAGTGTAGTGAGAGGACAAGGGGTAACGATTATAAGCTGAAAGAGGGTAGATTTAGACTAGACATTAGGAAGAAATTTTTCACTTTGAGGGTGGTGAGACACTGGAACAGGTTGCCCAGGGAAGCTGTGGATGCCCCATCCCTGGAGGTGTTCAAGGCCAGGCTGGATGAGGCTTTGAGCAACCTGGGCTAGTGGGAGGTGTCCCTGCCCATGGCAGGGGGGTTGGAACTCGATGATCTTTAAGGTTCCTTCCAATCCAAACCATTCTATGATTCTATGACACTGGAGTGCAGTTCTGCACTTAAATCTCTTTCAGTTTGACACCTGTACCTCATGTTATTTATGTCTTTTCCCTCAACATTTTCCCACACATGCTCTGAATTCTTCCTGCTTTTTTCCAAAAAACATATTTCCTTTTGAACATGAACATTTTCATTTATCCTGTTTTCTCAAGGTATTTTCTACAAACATCAATACTGGGTACTCGCAGTTTTCATTCATAAAATACCCAGTGCATCTTTGGTGTCTCCTTGGTGAAAATATTTTGGACTCTATCCATCAGCTGCAAACTGATGGATAGAGCTAAAAAATGACAGGTCTGACACAGATTGATTCTCAAGTTTGTCCTGCTATGGCCATGTATCCTCTCCTGCCATTATCTTGGTGTGGTTCCCTGTTCTCATTGGCTGCAGAGCTATTAGCTTATGGTGAAACTTTCTAGAGTGAAAGCTTTAGTTAATAGGCTTAAACCACAGATCTGAATTCAGATTTCTATGAGTTCAGAACTTGCTGTTCTAAAGCCAAATTTGAATAGGCTGAAATTGAGGAGAATTTCAGGTAGGTTGAGATGTAGCCCGTTCAGATTCAGGGAGTGGATTTGACGGACATGCTGAAAAACAAGGAAAGAAAAGCTATGTTGATGTTTTCACTTCTATTTATTTCCACCTTATGCCCTTAAATATGCCTTGCTGTAGGGCACAAGTGTACAAATAGCATTGCAGTAGCAAAATCTGAAACTTCATGTTTTCAACAAATGATATGTTTACAGAAAGGTTAGTAAGCAGAGCACAGCTTACGTACATTCAGCCACCTGGAAGTGCAGAAGTCTCCCTGGAGCACCCTGATAGTCCACCTTCAAAGTTTTCTGGGAGAAATTATTATTAAATCATGGTAGTGTACTAGCACATACACAACTACATTACTAGAAATTTTAATTACATAATTAAAACCCTAAAGTTTAATCATTCTCCTTATAGAAAAAAGGCAAGTGAAAGCAGAGAAAAGAGGGGAGAGGTTTGCAGTAGTGGACTTGTTACTTTTATTTTGCATGGGTTTGATCTTCAGGAAAAGAGACACAGAAAGACACTGACTGGCACAAAAGGGAAAAAAAAAACCAAAAAAAAAACCCTTGTGAAGTGCTGAGTGCTCACTTCTCAGCAAAGTAAAAATTTTTACAACATTTCCCAACCTTATCGATTACCTGACTGACTTCAGGTCCCAGATTTAAGCAAGAAAATGTAATACATTTAGAAAAATATAATGAAAGTTACACTAGAAGATACTATGGCTTTTAACGGTTTATTCAAAGGAATTGAACTGTCTATTCTGTGTACACACTTAACAGCGCTTGATTAAGGATCACATTTGCAAGAACAAAATTTACAGAGTATGCCAAATGACATGTTTTATTTAAATTTGTTTGGATCATAGAGCACCTTTTCATCTGCTTTATATTTTAAAGGGCTTCCATGAAAACACTAGATACATTCTAGTTTTTTTAGAAACTGCTGAGATGCTTAGCTGCAGTTGATCTATTATTAAGTAAAAGGAGGCAAATCTTGCATTTCTGTAATTATTATACCATGGCTAACTCCAGAAAACAGGCTGCATCATTGCACTCACTTTAGAGTCTGGGACCCTCAGTATCATCTGAGGTTAAGACACCTGTGTTGTGCTGTACACAAAATAACATTCTACTGAACTGCCTCCAGACTAGCGTGCTAGAGTGGGAACCAGCTCATACACAAGTGGCATCAGCATCCTACAGGCTGAATAGATTTGCTCTGAAAGAAACTTAAGGGACAGCTGAGTCCCAAAAGGACATTCCTGTCACTCAGAATCTATATAGAGATATGCACTGGCAGTGTTTTGCTTGGCTTTTTTCTTCAACAGCGGTTTCTCAGTAAGAAGCCATGTGAAGCAATGGCAGATCATGAACATGATCAGGAACATGAACAAATCTTTCTCTGGATTTTTTCCTAGACCAAATGTCTCAGATTGATGACAACTGATTTTTTCCTTGTCTTAACTGTTTGCACACTTATTTTTATTAGCAGTTGTATCATGTTGAGGTATAATGCTGGGTTCTCTTTTTTGTTTTTTTTTTCTTCCCAGGGTGATACCAATGGTCATTCAGTTTTCTATTCTGATCATGTTGCACTCCGCTCTTGTGCTAATCACTACGGCAGAGGACTACAAATGTTTACCCTTAATGCTCCGGAAAACTTGCTGCTGGATTAATGAGACCTACCTGGCCAGGAATGTCATTATATTTGCATCCATCCTGATTAATTTTCTTGGAGCCATCATCAATATTGTAAGCTTCACAGGGAACCAGGGAATATTATACAGGAACAGATGATTATTAAGCTTGCTACAGGACTTGCTAACTAATGTGTTTATAACCAGCTATGATTTAAATATAAAGACAAAATTTCACAGCTTCAGGATATTCAATCTGTCGCTTAAACTATGTATTTCTGAAATATCTAATTCTTTCTCCCTCATCAGTCTCATCTATTTTTAGAACCCTTTTGCTACTTTCTGTTCAATATATCCACTCCTTGAGGACCATTTGTAATTTTCTGACACGCTGATGTAATTTCTTAAAGACTGTCAATCCAAGTAATGCCCATAGATATTAAATTCCTCATCTCAGAGTTCTCCCATAAATTAGATTACTAAAAAAACGAGAAGTGTTAACAAACACAGAAGATGCCTTCAGAAAAAGGACAGAGCAGGTCAAGCTGAGCCAGTAACCACAGAATGCGAAAAGAAATTAAAAAGAGAAAATTCTAAACATACCTTGCCACTTGCTCATTTTGGTGGTGTGACAAACCAGTTCAGCCCAGATTCATCTTCCATGAAGTACCCAACTGTGGGCATAGTAACTCCCAGCTTTCTTTATAGTCAGTGCAGAAAATGGGCATCCTCTAGGGTTTACTTTGATCATATTGGTCCCATCTCTCTACTGCCCACACAGAGATTTTAGTCTGATTGGGTTCCCAATATACACATCTCCACTAAGACCCTGAAGTGTAATGAATCTACAGTTTATCAGTACAACTGATATATATGGATACATATCAATATATTGATATAATCAGTATATGTATATCATATGTCTGATATATATGAGTGAAGAAATGCATGTACAAAGTTTTGCTTTGCAGCTGTGGTTAGATAAAAATATTGGTGATGGAATACTGTGGGCCTAGCTCTATATAATGTCACATGGTAAAAGAGTGGGATCTTTGTAGGATGTGTATAAGGCAAAAGCAAATACAATAAAATCCTGATTTTCTGCATGTGTCCAGAAATACGAGGCAGCTTTGCATTAATTAGGCAGATTATCATGTCAGACGACCTGGCAGGTGTTGAAGCCTGAGCCAAGAAGAAGGTAAATATCTCACTAAGAGATTAAAAGTAATATTTTTTTTTTTCTCTTTCCTCTTGTAGAGCACCTTTTGGCTATGGATGTAGCAGTGCTTTTTCACCTGAACATTATTCTTTTTAAGTATTTCTTTCCTTCTAGATGAAACCAGGAAAGCATTTAGTGACAGTAATAACAATAACAACTCTAACAACACAGCAGCAGCAATAATTATCCTGTAATAATTAATAATAATTATGATTATTATATCATTGGAGTAAGTATGCTGAAGTCTGATACTTCAAGGGTTTGTCTTGTTTTTTGCTAACAGAGATGAGATTTCATTACGTTCTATTGCCGTCATTCTTCCATGATTAAATTTAGGTTGCCAATATGCGAGATCTCAGTATCTGTCTGGGTTTTTCAGTGATACCATGCAGTCACTGATGGGAGAGATAGTCAGAGAAAGAAGAATGTAGCCACTGATTATTACAGAGAAAATATAAATATAGAAAATGACAGGAAGTTCAACAGGACTGAAAACTTCCTGAAGATTAGAACTGCATTACATTATAGTTCAGATCACTAAGGAGTGTTGTAGAATTTAGAGTTTTTTAAATTATGTTTGACAAATACCTGACAGGAAAGATTTTGGTAGAATTAATCTTGCTCTTGAAACAAGATCATCTCTAATGGCCTATCCATACCCAATTTGCTATGGATATGATGATAATGAGATTTTCCCCTGACGTGTTGTGGATTATTTTTTAAGATTGTGTCCACTGCAATCTTGTGGGATGGCCAATCCAAAAACAGTAAAAAAAAATTTATTTTTACTGACGTGCCAGTGGGTTTCTATAAAGCAGTAAATAGTCATATTTATTGTAATGTATTTAGAATGCCAATGATTTGAGTCACTGAGTCCTGACCTCTACAGGAAATCACAACATTAATATAACTTCATTATTACATATGTTAAAATTCTGCCATAATAATAGTTTGCTCAGGAGGGGCCCGCATGCATTTAAGAACAGGTAATGCAGCTCAGCCTTGCAGTGAGTTCAAATGCACCCACTTGGAGGGGCTAAGACTGAGATGCTTTCCAACAAGAGACATAAGTCTTTGGTTTCACCAGGAGGGCAAATGAGTCTTGTGGTTGTCTATACCAAGTGCATTCTTATATATATAAAATTAGAATAAAGTTTCTGATCCCAAATGTCTTTTAAAAAGACACCTAGAGGGGTGGTTATGGCACTCTGCCCTGCGAAGAGGTGCTGTACATCTCATAAACTTTCAGAAGGTGCCATTACCTATCTGTTGTCATAGAGGACTGCACAGACAGCCTAGATAATGTTACTGCATTGCAGAGACGAGTGAATTGCTGAAAGAACAAGCAAGAAATTGGACCTCATTAAACAAACTCCCTAATTCTGTTGGAAAGAAAGATAGGGGAACCAGGCTTGTACACACTGGGTTGATGAAAGGACCTAGTATAAACATCCAGATTGGATTAATATATGTAACAGGAAACTCCATCTGCTTTAACTGTCAAAATATGAAACCATTAATGATTTTTTCCTGTGTTCTAAGAGCACGATGTATTGCAACTCAACACTGCTGTTTTGCTTATATATAATACACTTGGTTTGAAATACCATGAAAATGAATGCAGGTCATAACAGTGAAAGGCAGTATTACATTCTCAAAACCACTGTATAATGAATGAATTTTCATTCCCTTCCATTCTCAGCAGCCCAGTTGCAGTTCTGGGACCACATTATGCTTTGGCACAAGTCAATTTTGCATGATGCTATGGGATTTTGTCCCACATCCAGAAGGGATCCACTGTTCATAGCAATGTATCAGGAAAAAAAAAAAACAAAAAACAAAAAACCACACCCCCCCCAAAACCAAAAAACAAACAAACAAACAAAACCCCAACTTGCAAACAAATGCACACATGCAATCTGATTTTATGCTCCCAATTTAGTTTTCTTTATAATTTATAGCAAAGTATAAACATTTTGACAGGGTAATTCTTAAGAGTCCAACATCAGTCCATTGAAACTCTCAGAGAAGCTCTTTCACCTTTGTCAACAAGAGAGCACAGGAAGGCTACTCAGCTGCTGAATGTCTGCAGTGGGAATAACTTCCCCCTTTCCATTTCATCTCCACAGTATGTCTTCTGAGTGTCCATTCAGTTCTTAGTGCCAGTTAGGGAGATGGCATAGAAAACAACGTCAGCAAGTTCCATCCCTGTACCCAGCCAGCTACACAAGCACCTAGTCACCAGTGCACAATACAGCCCTATCTTTTTTTTTCTTTCTTTACAGCTATGGTGTGATTTTGACAAACCAGTAACCCTGAAGAACCAGACTTTCAATTCATCTGCATCTTTTACGGACATCTGTTCCTATCCTGAGGTATTTCTGAGGGTACTTTTGAATGTGAGGCACAAAGGTGACATGGCAGCCACTACCTGGAATCAATGACCTGGGTACTGGTGGTGGAATCAGGTGCCTCAACAGCCCTGTGAAGCTGAACCTTTGCATTTATCCATATGATGACAGAAAAAGCAGAGGCAGGTTACGGAAGAAATTAATCTCATGGTCTAATGGGTCATTACAACCGAGTTTCTGAACCTCATATAGAACCTTTACGCTGGAAACACATCCAGCAGTGATTGAATGAAACTACTGCAATAAAATGTACCACTTAATTCATATGAAGCTAATGGAAACAAATACTTCTTACATTGCAAAACCAGCAGTCTTTCTGCTGCAGTTATTTTAATTTTGCATTTAGAGCAAAAAAAAAAAAAATCCTCTCTATGATGAGCAAGCAGATAATAAGATCAATGGGTTGTTCATCTGTAGACAAAAGCAGTATGTTGCCTAGAAAGTCGTACGGCAGTGTCATGATACTACCAGCAGTATGCTGCAGACTGCAGGGGTGCAGAATTTCCTACAGAGGAATTGTACTAAAGAAAAAGTGTACTCAGAAAAATGAATGCTATCTCTCCTGAAGCTGTATGATAGGAGTTAATTTAAACTACATTTGGACTGTGGGGGTTGATGCTGCTATTTTAAATCTGAATGCCTCATAGACATAGTTGTCTTTCTATATCCAGTATCAGCTGCATGAATTGCATTTGACAGATGACTAATCATTGACAAAAATGAGACAATGAAGAGATTAGAGAATGAGATATGAATAAAACTTCCAGGTATCACATTTCAAGAGAGTAATGTAACTAAGCTAGACCTATAATATTAAAAAAAAAAAAAAAAAAAA